GTTTATAAGGCATGCGTTTATCACTAGGTTGACAAATAGACCAATATAATACAAGTTATATATCACAAAGAATATATCATTAGAAATTTCAAATTGTATACTTTCTAATGGTGTAATTTTTAGACTATACAACTCATCTTATGTTTGTCAAATTATAGATCAGGGATACACGCATGCCCTATAAACCAGAAAGGAGATAGTAGTCCCATGGGTTTTTGCACTCCCTCCGTCCCGAAATTAACCTTTGTGCTATACCTTTGTGCTATATTTGAGACACTTATTTTGAGAAGACCGGTTCACTTTTCTGCGTTAATACTTAATACCGACAAGGCATATCGATCTATGACGTCCACTCAAGCATCCCAATCTTTAACAGCTGGTCGGGGGAGTACGGATCCCCAGCGCTGATAGGAGGATCTAGGTGGATGGAGACCGAAAGCAGCCATGGCCATGGCCATGGCTTGGCGGTCAGTTACAGGTACGCGCGTTCGATCCTGTCTTAAAAGAAAGGGCGGTGGCAGGAATGGACCCGCCTAGTGGCACGCTTGGAGTACGGAAGGAACCGGCCACAGTGCTGACATTGTAGCACCTCACCGCCGGAATTGAATGCCTTGCTGGCCCAGTGCACTCCCGTATGAGTGTTAGAACAACAGCAGCAGGAGTTTCTCTGAAACTCTGCCTCCGTTGGATTGGATCCAGTGCCAGGGCCAAAGGAACATCGCGACCGAGCAGCCGAGTGCCGTCGCTTATGTCGTGTGTGTCCTTTGTCAACTGTCATGTGGCTGAACAGTGGTGCGACTGTAGGAACATTCGATCGGCAAAGTACGGATCGGGCTCCGGAAACCCGGAGAGATTGCATGGCATATATTCCAGATGCCAGCAGCCCAGCACCACTCCAAGTCTCCAGCTAGCACCGCTCGCGACACGAACTGTGCAAACCCGTGAACCAACCGCCGCAGTTAAGTCCGGCCGGCTCCACACGGCCGCCCCCGGCGCGCGCGCACCGCACCGCTCGGCTCGGCCGCACCGGCCGTGCCATCTTGGGCGTAGCCAGCCACGGATCGAATTGCTGTATCTGGCTGGCTGTATGGTGGACGGATCTTTTCCGCTCACCGGCCGCCCGGCACGCGCGCGCGTCCATGGTTGGCGCGCGGGCGATCGAGCGCGATCCATCAACGACCACGTAGTACTACTACGTGCGTCCATGGCCGCAGTCGAGCGTGCGCGCGCGCGTGCAGCGTGTTGTCTGTCACCTGGCACGCATCTCGGGGACACCCGGCCTTTCCGCCCTCTGTGCCTACGATCAAGTGCCCAATCGATCGATCGCCATGCATGGTCCCGTGGCGGCCGCAGTACAGTACTCCGACGAGAAAAGGCAATACGTAGCTTGCTGCAGCTGTTAGTTAACGAACCTTTTCTGGCCGATGAGCACACAGTTTCAACGAGTTCATCATGCCGCTCATGTCGATCGATCCGGTGCAGGAATAGTAATCGCGCGAACCGCGCGTGCGCGGAAAGCCGGCCTTTATCGCCTCGGAAAGCGCGCTTTCCGCCTAAACTTGCGCCTAGTTAGTCATCATCATCAGGCCGGTTCGATCGATCGGCTCCATCGTTGGACGCACGCACATGTGCTGATGCGCAAGCGTAGGAGAAGGGCGCGGGAGCGGGCACGGGCGCCATCGATCCGTGGGCCAAAAAGCGATCCGTCGACCGGCTTGGCAAATGGGGCGGATCCGAAATGCGACGGGGGGTTGAGGTGCTGGTGGTGGCGCTCATCATGGCGCTGCCGAGCTCGCCGATCGATGGGTACGTACGTGGTACACTCGAACGCGCGCGGGCCCGGCCGAGCTCACGCTCACGCGCGCTTTTATCGCGTGTGCAAAGCCACGGCACGTACGTACCGGCCGGCCGGTTTGTGTTTGTTTGATCGTAATTCGTCCATGCTCTCTCTCTCGCTCTCTCTCTCTCTCGGACGTACCGCGAGTCCCATTCGATGACGTCGCCCGCCGAGGCTTTCACCACGTACGGGAGTGAGCTAGCCCGCATGGCATCTTCCTAGACGAGATTTGTATACGTGTGGATTTTGTGTGGACAGGTCGATCGAGACGTGTGCAGTACGCACCGGGTTGAATTGATGGGAAAAAGCAGGTGCAAAAGTTCTTTAATTTTGAAAACTTAGTTTTTCCAACCTAAAAAACCTTGGTTTCTTTTTTTTTTGCGGGTGAATGTGAACCTGTCAATTTTATGCCGAGAAAATACACCGG